TCATGACTTTTTCAAGAGTCTATCTTTTGTTGCTGGCTCTCATAATGTTGAATTTTCTGATTCATAATAGTACTTATAAAAGTCTTTTCTTTTTTTAAATCATTTATATTTCTTTAAATTTCATCTTCGTTTTATCATTGTTTTTTTCAAAATAATAATAGTTTTCACAGCTCCAATAAAACCAAAAATTTGGTTTGTTTAATTAAAAATAACTTAACTGTTTTCAATTACTTATGTATAATTACTAATAAAAAAATATTCCTCTAAAGCCAAGGATAGCTACTATGCCAATAACTATAAATGGTTACCTGATTTCTAGTTATCTTGATGTTAAGTTGATCTCATAGAAATTATTAAGTAAGTCATAATTATTTTTGTTATTTTATGATGATTTTTTATGATTCTATTTTCACAATCCTAAGAAGAGTTTGTTATGTTATTAAAATATAATAGAAAGAGTGTACTATGTTTTCATTTATGTCCTTTTTATTTTGTTTCAAAATAACCTAAGTTTGATAATATTATAAGCTGTTTTTTTTTAATATTCATTATTTTATTTTTATATCGGTGTTCTCTAATATTTTAATGCCAATTTATAAATATTAGGTAAGTACTATTATTGCAATGTTTATAGAAATGTTCCTAAAAATATAATAATAGTAAGTATTTGTGTTGTTCCTATTAAAAAATAAAGAAATTTATCCTTGACAATATGTCTTTTTATTTTTTTAACCTAGTATTTGTTTACATATATTAATACAAACCTAATATTTTAACCGATATAATTTGTTATTGCCACATACAGTGGAATGAGACTTATATTTTTCAATGTATATTGTTGTAACTATTATATACAACAACTGACGAAATCTAAACTCCGTGGTATAATATTGTAAGTATGAGATACGACAAATGTCGCAGCCTGTACTCCGCAGTAAAATGTTGTATGAACAATATCTCAGAAAATATACATTTTTTTTTAATTTATCTTTCAACTGTAATCAAGAATACTATAAATTACATTCATATACCAAATTTCACAAAAATACAATCATAAATGCAGTTTTTAGACCAATTTGAATCTTTAAAATGCTCTATTGTAAAATTGCAGTCTTGGGGATACAACTTACGTGGGAGGTATAGATATATACCCCGCACAGCCGCACAGCTTTTGTTCGTAGGTAGCCATTGAATTAACATGTGCTTACGTACTAGAACAGTTATTTCATGCCAGGTTTAGACCTTCGCCTTGCGCCTCGCCTCGTAGCTCGCCTCGCAGCTCAGGTGTTGCTGCGAGGTAACGAGTGCCTGTTTACACTCTCACAATGCATTCAGTTTGCGTTGAGCCAGGTGTGATGGAAGATGTCGAAATAATAGGGGCATAAACACTTGTATTAATCGATGCTTGACCTTTTTTTCTTCGCAGGTGTTGACGAAAGGTAGCCATAAGCGAACACTTTTTTACTTTTATACATAGTAAAGCCACGCTGCAGCTACATTATGGTTGTAGGATGAATGGGTCGGCTCGACCGGGGAGGGATTACGCTCTCACAGAATACCAGCGTAAAATAGTAGCCCGTTTTACTGGAATCGAGGCATTCCATCTTAGTCCTCAAAAGTGACAACTCATCATATTTTGATTCTCAATCGAGGTTAAATGTAGATGTCTATAGGCCTCAGCATCCACTTACCATCAGGTGGGCTGTGTGCTCGTTTGTTATCCTTAGCTATAAAAAAACTGGTCTCTGCTAGCGGTCTGCACATAACTTCGGAAATTCTTTTCCACGCATCATTTACTTTTTGAGTATTTTTATGCATGACATCTTTTGGATCCCAAATTATTCGCTCAGTCTGATAGAGATCAAAGAACTGCGGCGTTTCTTCTTGCGACCAGTCCATTTTTAGTTGAAGTGGAACATAAACCCAACAAAACAACACAACCCGCACGGAAGGGCGCCGTAAACAAACTAAAACGAGAGCGCGAATGTAAACAACACGCTCGCGTTCTTCGCGAGGCCCTTTGCCTCGTGCCTAAAAAACCACCTCCGACGCGAGCACCGCGAGTAGTGAGGCGAGCCACGAGCTAGCGTTAAGCGCTTATTACACTATACAATTTTTAGGAAATCTAATTAGGAACCTAAATTGGAAGCTAGTGATCACACTACACTAAATTGAATTCTAAATCGTGACGAACCGCATTCGTAAAGAAGTATCGACGGGGTTGCACGTTTGATCGATGGCGCCGTATTTATCAAAACTGCAGAAAATAGGACTTGCTTTAGCCATGGTGGGAACAATGGATATTAAAAAAAGAAAAAAGAATACTTGTCATTGATAAAAAACTGTCCAATATGAATATAATTATATATTTTTAGATTCTAAGCAGTTTTTTATAGGATAGGGTGACAAACGAGCACACAGTCCACCTGATGATAAGTGGTTGCTGCGGCCCATGGACATCTACATCTATCTCCGATTACAAATCAAAATGCAGATGCGTTGTCACCTGTGACGACTAAGATGGAATGCCTCGTTTCCAGTAAAAAGGGTCTCCGGTTCTCTACACTCGCCATACGAAACACAGCAACATTAAGCTACTATTTTACGCTGGTATTTTGTGGGAGCGTGGTGCTTCCTCGGTCGAGCCGACCCATTCGTGCTACAACTATACTACTAATATAACTGAAGCATGGCTCTACCACCTATAAACAGTTTGAATATTTGTTAAGTTTGGTATCCAACACATACTGAAAAAGAAGTCACGATATTTCGATAAAGTGTGAGTACCAAAGAATGTTTGATGGTGATATTACGTTTTATAGCCACCGGAAATTAATATTAAGATTTAAAGTACTGCTCTCTGATATCAGACTTCTACCAAAACTTCTATCAAAACTTTAAGACATCCGCTTGTATCAAAGCACGGGCGCCGACTGGTTGTTCTAAATCGTAACGTTGCGATTACACTGTCCTAAATTGTAAACAATTTAGGAAGTAGAGCGATTGGGACCTCCAATTTGACTAAAGCGCTTATTACACTATACAATTTTTAGGAAATCTAATTAGGATCCTAAATTGGAAGCTAGTGATCACACTACACTAAATTGGAATTCTAAATCGTGACGAACCGCATTCGTAAAGAAGTATCGACGGGGTTGCACGTTTGATCGATGGCGCCGTATTTATCAAAACAGCAGAAAATAGGACTTGCCTTAGCCATGGTGGGAACAATGGATATTAAAAAAAAGAGAAAAGAATAATTGTCATTGATAAAAAACTGTCCAATATGAATATAATTATATATTTTTAGATTCTAAGCAGTTTTTTTATAGGATAGGGTGACAAACGAGCACACAGTCCACCTGATGATAAGTGGTTGCTGCGGCCCATGGACATCTACATCTATCTCCGATTACAAATCAAAATGCAGATGCGTTGTCACCTGTGACGACTAAGATGGAATGCCTCGTTTCCAGTAAAAAGGGTCTCCGGTTCTCTACACTCGCCATACGAAACACAGCAACATTAAGCTACTATTTTACGCTGGTATTCTGTGGGAGCGTGGTGCTTCCTCGGTCGAGCCGACCCATTCGTGCTACAACTATACTACTAATATAACTGAGCATGCTCTACCACCTATAAAAGTTTGAATTTGTTAAGTTTGGTATCCAAACATATTGAAAAAGAAGTCACGATATTTCGATAAAGTGTGAGTACCAAAGAATGTTTGATGGTGACATTACGTTTTATAGCCACCGGAAATTAATATTAAGATTTAAAGTACTGCTCTCTGATATCAGACTTCTATCAAAACTTCTCTATAAGACATCCGCTTGTATCAAAGCGCGGGCGTCGACTGGTTGTTCTAAATCGTAACGTTGCGATTACACTGTCCTAAATTGTAAACAATTTAGGAAGTAGAGCGATTGGGACCTCCAATTTGACTAAATCGGATCCTAACTGTTCTAACTACGATTACACCTTCCTATTTCCTAATTAGATTTCCTAAAAATTGTATAATGTAATAAGCGCTTAAATCGGATCCTAACTGTTCTAACTACGATTACACCTTCCTATTTCCTAATTAGATTTCCTAAAAATTGTATAGTGTAATAAGCGCTTTAAGCGCTTATTACACTATACAATTTTTAGGAAATCTAATTAGGATCCTAAATTGGAAGCTAGTGATCACACTACACTAAATTGGATTCTAAATCGTGACGAACCGCATTCGTAAAGAAGTATCGACGGGGTTGCACGTTTGATCGATGGCGCCGTATTCATCAAAACAGCAGAAAATAGGACTTGCCTTAGCCGTGGTGGGAACAATGGATATTAAAAAAAGAAAAAAGAGAAAATGCTGGGTTAAAGAATACTTGTCATTGAGAAAAAAACTGTCCAATATGAATATAGTGCATATGTTCGAACCTGGCGACTGTAGAAATTTTTTAAGAGTTGATTCTAATCAGTTTGACTATTTATTAAGTTTGGTATCCAAACATATTGAAAAAGAAGCCACGATATTTCGAGAGAGTGTGAGTGCCAAAGAACGTTTGATGGTGACATTACGTTTTCTAGCCACTGGAAATTCATATCAAGATTTAAAATACCGCTCTCTGATATCAGAACCGCTTCTATCAAAACTTATTCCAGAAACATGCTGGGCAATATACAAATGTTTGAAAAATTACATACAGGTGAGTAAATCTATAATCTATATATAATAAAATCGTGGAGGGTCGGTGATAATAAAACAACATTTTAGTTATTTTAGTACTATTTATATATGAAGTAACGTGCATAATTTAACGATTTAAGGTTATCTGGGCTTAAAAATTAAAAAATCCTTCATGACACCTCCATAACCCTTTACTATGGTTGGTGTTGAACTTTCTTCGTTTTCGGATGAAGCGAGAGTAGTACTTGGGAATTATGACTGTGAGTATTGTGGTGATGAGTCAAGGATTAATTGCAGATGATTTTGTTGTAGTAATGTAGTATCAGGTAAATGTTGTTGAAGGCGTGGAGATGGCGTGGGCATCGGTGATTGCTGGTGGTGTTGCGGAGACGGCGTGGGCAGCGGAGATTGCTGGTGGTGTTGCGGAGACGGCGTGGGCAGCGGGGATCGCAGGTGGTGTTGCAGAGATGGCGTGGGCATCGGTGATCGCTGGTGGTGTTGCAGAGATGACGTGGGCATCGGTGATTGCTGGTGGTGTTGCGGAGACGGCGTGGGCATCGGTGATCGTGGTGGTGTTGCGGAGACGGCGTGGGCAGGTGAGGTGGAGGGATCTGTCGGTGATCGCTGGTGGTGTTGCGGAGACGGCGTGGGCAGCGGGGATCGCAGGTGGAGTTGCAGAGACGGCGTGGGCATCGGTGATCGCTGGTGGTGTTGCGGAGACGGCGTGGGCAGCGGGGATTGCAGGTGGTGTTGCGGAGATGGGGTGGACAGCGGCGATTGCAGGTGGTGTTGCGAAGACGGCGTAGGCAGCGGGGATTGAAGGTGGTGTTGCGGAGACGGGGTGGACAGCGGGGATTGCAGGTGGTGTTGCGGAGACGGAGTGGACAGCGGCGATTGCAGGTGGTGTTGCGGCGACGGCGTGGGCAGCGGCGATTGCAGATGGTGTTGCGGAGACGGGGTGGACAGCGGGGATTGCAGGTGATGTTGCGGAGACGGGGTGGACAGCGGTGATTGCAGGTGGTGGTACCGAGACTGCGTGGGATAAGGTGATTCGTTGGAATTTGAGTTGGATGAAATAGTACGTAGAGGTGTTCGTTGATAAGCATAGGATCCTAAAATTATATGCGAATCTTCGTTTAGTCTATCAAGGGTTGCATAGTAAATAACGTCTGATATTAATTTTCGACTAATGATAAACTGCCTTTTATTTAAGTCACGAAGTTGGTGTGCAATAGATTTCCCTAATATATCAAACGAATCCTCTTCCATAGAAATCAACTGATTTGCTTTGTCCAGTAGTTTTTCTTGTTTTGAAATTAATGTATTTTTTCGTTTTTTTGATTTTGTTCCGGATATATTTGGACTTTCATTTTCTTCGCCTGATGACAATGGTGATTCCTGAAAGATAATAAACGGTGATTATTTTTGTTGTAGGTACCTCAATCAGAAGAAGAGTGGTCAGCTATAGCAGCTCAATTTGAATCTAAGTGGAATTTCAACAATTGTGTTGGAGCATGTGATGGAAAACACATTGCCATTCAAAAACCACCTGGAAGTGGTTCATTAAAGGATTTTTCAGTGTTGTATTATTTGCTATCGTTAATGCCAACTACGAATTTATTTACGTACACACTGGAACTAATGGATCTGTTGGCGATGGATCTATTTGGAAATCAACAGGTTTTTACGAAAAACTTGAAAATAATGAGTTGAATTTACCACCTCCTTCTATACTACCAGGCACAGATATTTCAGTGCCGTATGTCTTTGTAGGTGACAGTGCTTTTGCTTTAAAAAATAATTACATGAAACCATTTCCATTTAAAAATATTACCCACGACCAACGGATATTTAATTATCGCCTTTCCCGAGCCCGCAGGGTGGTTGAAAATGCTTTTGGGATTTTGTCCTCAAGGTTTAGGGTATTTCAATCGCCTATAGGTGTACAAGTTAAAAATGTGGATCCTATTGTCTTGGCTTGCTGCGCGTTGCATAATTTTTTAAGAAAACAGACATCATCATATATAGCAGCACGAGACATTGATAGGGAAAATACTAAAAAATTCATATTTCATAAAGGGGATTGGCGAAATAATACCGAAGGACTGTCTTTATTGCAACTAACGAGTGAAAATCCACGAAACAGTGAAGGAAACGAAGTACGTAATACGTTCATGAATTATTTCAATTCTATAGGAACGTGTTTCCTTTCAGGAAAAAATGATTGAGATTGTGCGTATGTAATAAATTATCATGTTTAAAAGTTATTTAATAATATAACATATTATTTGATAATATAAAATATGTATACTTTTAATAAAATAAAGTTAATTAACCTGCTATACCTACTTGTTTTTATTTCTTAATTTTATAGTGTACTTACTTGTGAATCTACAGGTTGACGACATGGCTCTGCTGGAGAAGCTAAAAAATTTAATGCATCGAAGTACCACAGGGTTGGTACATATATATCTTCTGTTCCTGCTCCAGTTTGTCTTGATGCTTTGACCTAAAAATAAATTTAATTGATTTTAAATTTCTGGACGTTTTAAATTTTGATAATCACGCCTGCAAAAACAAATGGTTAAGGTATTGCACTTGAAAAAAAATTGTTATTAACTTATGATTAGTTTTAAAGGTTTTAAAGAAATAGAATCGTATTAATGAATTATTTGAACGAAATTAAAGCGAAATTGATATATTATATGTTTAAAGTATGTTTGTAACATACATAAGTACGTAACAAGATTTCGTAAGTTATACGTACTTATGTATGTTTGTAACATACATAAGTATCTAGTTGCCTATATGCGCGAAAAACATGATGGTTAGGTAGGTAAATAAAAACAATGCTAACCTTTTTTTAATTCTCTGAAATATGTGGTTTTGAGGTTGTCTATTTTTTTCTTTAATGTTTTAGTAGTTCCGTTTCTGTCATATTTTTTGTAAATATTTAACAACACCTTGTAGCCCTCTTCACGCATTGCTTTGTTTAAATAATTTTTATTATTTTTATTATACAAAAAGGGCATTTCCCTATACAGGTCTATAATTTGTATTAAAACCTCTCTTTCTGTGGACATGCTGCAACACGAACCACTGCTCAATTCTATCGCTTCACTCGTCATCGCAAACAAATATCGCATGCGCAGTCAGACCTCCGCCAGTAGGATATGCAGTAATCTATGACGTCCACTTAGATCAAAGCGCGGGCGCCGACTGGTTGTTCTAAATCGTAACGTTGCGATTACACTGTCCTAAATTGTAAACAATTTAGGAAGTAGAGCGATTGGGACCTCCAATTTGACTAAATCGGATCCTAACTGTTCTAACTACGATTACACCTTCCTATTTCCTAATTAGATTTCCTAAAAATTGTATAGTGTAATAAGCGCTTTACACTCGCAACTCGTGCCTCGCCTCCCGCTCGCGTGAGAGTAAACCGGCTATCAAACAAAATATGCATCATTACCGTTTGCGCACCGCTTTTTCTTTTCAGAACAAGGATCCCAGGTTCTTAGAATAAAACGTCAGCCCCCTGTCCACCCAGCATGTCCACCATGGACTTCAGCCAAGTTCAGGCACTATTCGCCCAATTCCTAAAATCCCAAGGCTTCGCTTTCTATGTCGACTTTGGCATAAATATTACCCCCCGTACCCCTAAGGCATGTGTTCCCTGCCCGCGTCCCTTGACTCCAACGACATGGAGTGCTCGGACTCCGCGTCCGCTACATCATCCTCCCTGAAGAGATCCGCCCGCTCCAACATTTCATCCGGTAGCTGCTCCACGGACTCAGATTCCGATGGAACGGTCACTGACGCGATTCCATTTACGGTAGTAAAGTCCAAGCGCGGCCCGAAGCGTGCCGCAACTTTCCACTCACCCCCCGCCCCGGCAGCCGCTGCCGCCTCCCGTGCCTCCACCTCTGCAGCCCTCACCGTTGCCTCCACCTCCGCAGCCCCCGCCGCTGCCGCTGCCCCAAAAAAGTCGTTAGACATTCCCCCTCCTTCCAAGCCAGCATCTCGCGGCACTCCCACACTAGCTAAAAAGCAAGTTCCGCCCCCTGTCTTCCTCAGAGACAAGGCGAAATTCACAAAGCTCTCCAAAACCTGCTATGACGCAGCAGTGGCGAAGCTAGAGCTCCAAGCTAGGGCAAGCCCAAGATATAAATTGATAAAAATATAGATTGTTGTTTTTAGCAGTTTTAGTTAAAAATACACCAATCTTGATCTGTCTCCACGCTTCAGTTTCATATTCAGTGCTGTCAAGGACGTATTTAACAAAGCACACAGAAGGCATACCAGTGCTAGATAGATTGTATTACATATCAGCAATTGCATAGCTTCGGTGGCTTTGAAGAAAGCCGTTTGGGTTTGTTTAAGCGAAAGAAAAAAATATTTACATCCAATACAATACAAGAACAAAAGTAAAACACGAACAAAGTACAAACAAACTATGTACAAAATTTAAAAAAAAAACAAATTATTTACATTCTAATGGATAAGAGATAAGATAAGTGGAATCGTCTCGCTTTCTTATGGAAAGATTTAATTACGTCCACGTAAAATGATGGTGAACCTTTTAATTGTACCAATAACTGTTTTTAATTACGATAATTGATAAGTCTGAAATACACTCCTACTCTAACCTTGTGTATTATCTCAACAAAGTTTAAAGTTTTCCTCTCCGATTATCACTTTAACACACTTCAATTCATCACAAGGAACACTATTATCCTCCATTTTCATTAAAAATCTTTAAAAAAGCATAAGTTTTGAACTCATAATATTAAATCGCTTAAGATAAGCACACAGATTAAATAAACATTGAAACGTGAAATGAACTTGCAAACGTATTGCCCGCGCGCCTCCGCTTTTAACAAATTTATTCCCAAAAGCCTGGCTTTAAATCTCTATACTAATTGCTATATATACAATCGTAGTTATATTTCATTATAGAATATTTTGCCATAGGTTAGAAAGAGAGCGATCGTCTTCTCGAAAGCCCCGTAAAAAGCCCACGCGAGCGAGGGAGACAACTATTAGCTCTATTAAAACTCATTTTTTATGACAGGAGCAGTATCGCTAAAGCGCTTATTACATTATACAATTTTTAGGAAATCTAGTTAGGAAATAGAAAGTGTAATCGTAGTTAGAACAGTTAGGATCCGATTTAGTCAAATTGGAGATCCCAATCGCTCTACTTCCTAAATTGTTTACAATTTAGGACAGTGTAATCGAAACGTTACGATATAGAACAACCAGTCGGCGCCCGCGCTTTGATACAAGCGGATGTCTTGAAGTTTTGATAGAAGTCTGATATCAGAGAGCAGTACTTTAAATCTTAATATTAATTTCCGGTGGCTATAAAACGTAATGTCACCATCAAACATTCTTTGGTACTCACACTTTATCGAAATATCATGACTTCTTTTTCAATATGTTTGGATACCAAACTTAACAAATATTCAAACTGTTTATAGGTGGTAGAGCCATGCTGCAGTTATATTAGTAGTATAGTTGTAGCATGAATGGGTCGGCTCGACCGAGGAAGCACCACGCTCCCACAGAAAAATAGTAGCTTAATGTTGCTGTGTTTCGTATGGCGAGTGTAGTGAACCGGAGACCCTTTTTACTGGAAACGAGGCATTCCATCTTAGTCGTCACAGGTGACAACGCATCTGCATTTTGATTTGTAATTGGAGATAGACGTAGATGTCTATGGGCCGCAGCAACCACTTATCATCAGGTGGACTGTGTGCTAGTTTGTCACCCTATCCTATAAAAAAAACTGCTTAGAATCTAAAAATATATAATTATATTCATATTGGACAGTTTTTTCTCAATGACAAGTACTCTTTTCTCTTTTTTTAATATCCATTGTTCCCACCACGGCTAAGGCAAGTCCTATTTTCTGCTGTTTTGATAAATACGACGCCATCGATCAAATGTGCAACCCCGTCGATACTTCTTTACGAATGCGGTTCGTCACGATTTAGAATTCAATTTAGTGTAGTATGATCACTAGCTTCCAATTTAGGTTCCTAATTAGATTTCCTAAAAATTGTATAGTGTAATAAGGGAGTGCGCGGGAAATTTGAAATAGCTTGAAACATTTTACGAGTTATTTGATTGGTTGATATTATTGATTGATTCAGGTTTAATAAGGCAAGCCCGGCTTTTCGGCTTTAATGGAAGCTTCGCCACTGCGACGCAGGTATTAAATGTGAACAAGCCACCAACGTCGGTGAAGCCATTAAAATTATCCCTTCTTCCATCGAAGATTTTCGTAGCCTTACTAGGCTTTTTACGTCCGAGTGTGTGTCCTACCACACATACGCTCTCCCTGAAGAGAAAAAGGTCAGGGCTGTCCTCCGCGGAGTTCCTTTCGAACTCGCAAACGACGACATCCTGGACCTCACAATACAAGGTTTCCCCATCGATGCTGTACACAAGATGCACAGCAGCAGGGGCGAGAGATTTAATCTTGCCCTACTCATACTCTCCAACGTGCCGGAGGCAAAAACCATATTCCGGCAGGTACGCACCGTATGCGGCCTGTCGCGAGTAAAGGTCGAGCCTCCCCATAGGCGCGGTTATCCGGCGCAGTGCCACCACTGCCAAATTTATGGGCATGCGGTGGCCAACTGCTCAGCCCCACCCAGGTGCGTTAAGTGCCTAGAACCACACCACTCGAAAGAGTACCCTCGACCATAAATTGCCGAAACCCCACCCGCATGTATCCTGTGCGGACTGACCAGCCACCCGGCTAATTTCAGAGGCTGCCCTCGCGCTCCTCGCCTCCATCCTAATAAAGCTGCCAGACTAGCTCCACCACCGGTTAATGACCACTTATTTCCGGTTCTTCGAAGCCGAATGCCCCGTCAAAGCTTGTCCCTGTCTCAACACCCTCAGGGCTTATCTCAGTCCGCTCAGGGCATCTATCGGACTCCTCAGGGCACTCCTTGCCCCTTTATGGGCCTTTCTCAGCCCTCACTGCACCCAATTATCCCTTGGGGCCCCAAAAAGGCTAACCTCCGCGGTTTTCTACCACCCCACACCAGGAACAAGTCTCAATGGCGATGACCTGAATACGGTGTACAACGCTATTCGGAGCATCGATATAGGGGAGATTGCCATCCTAGCGCGCAAAATGCGCGCTGCTCAGTCCCGTCAGGACCGTCTCCTTGTTCTTGTTGAGCATCAAAATCTCTTAAGTTCCTTGTAATAAAAACAAGACACATATTGCAAGAGCTTCCCGCTCCCGCCATATCACATGGCCGTATCAAGCCAAAGGGTTTGTCGCTTGTATCCTTTAATATCCGCGGTTTGCGTAATAACCTCCCTGAGCTTAGGCTCTTCGAGATCACGAAGCCGACCTCCTCCTCCTCCAAGAAACTCACCTCAGTTCTAAGGTCCTCAAAGGGCTGTCTATCAAAAAGTACTCTCTTCTACGTGATAACCAGAGATCGGGATTGGGAGTGTAAAAATACCTAAAGTTTGCAGCGGGACATAACATGTAGCTGTTACAACCACTTAAGTTGAACCGGTTTTGTATTTTACTGGTTCAGTTTCGGTTTTTTTTTGTTTTACATGTTCCTTACCATGGAAACACCAAACTATAAACATTTCCAAGCTGCTAATACAGTTTTAAATTAATTTTTGTTTTGGTAATCGGTAATCTTCAAAATGACATCTGCACAAAGCAAAACCACAAAATCAAAAAAAGGTGCAAGGTGCAAGTTAAAAATAGGTGCAAGTCGAAAAGTAACCTGGATTCAAAACTGCGATCGACCAAAGTATTGAGAATATAACACGTATTAATTCAACAAGTTGCGCTACAAGACTGCACTAACCTGCTAAAACAATGAAAGCTACGGCAGTGCGCGGAGGAGGCAGACTGAATTGTTTTACCTGTTAAACAATGGATTAGCGCTGGTTATTATACCGCGAAGAACACAAAGTCTTTTTTAACATTAGAAAA